ACCACCAACCTTAATCTGCACCAATTTTCCAGAACAAACACAATGTCACCTCCCGCCAATGCAAATCCTCCCTCTATCATCACCATCTGAAAAATTCATTAAAACCCCCTCCTGGCCTTTCCCCAATATGTCTCTCACTAATGGGATGTCACATGCATAATATATGAGTGTAATCTAAAATCACAGAATTTTTTTTTTTTTTTGTAATGCAAATCCACATGCGTTACAAAATCCAGTTAGGTGCTTTTTTTTTTCTTTTTCTTCTTTTTTTTTAACAGTCTGGCATAAATTTCAATTGCAAAGTGGATACAAGTCACCTGATCAAACATGTCAAACTGAACCGTGCATCTGGGAGCCAGGAGGGTCCCGTGGGGAAATGGACTTCCCTTCTCCTCACTTCACCTTCCACGCTGACTTGATGTGAACTCGGACCATCTGTCCCATGCTAATTGCGCGTGGGCTGCAATGTAGCCTCAACCACAGACGGACGGCGTAGTTAAGAAGCGCCTTATGACCCCGTTTAGTCCCTGAACACAGCCCGACAAGCCCGGAGTGAAATTCGGCGCCGCTTTCTGTTGCAGCTGTGCAGAAGTAAATCCATACGCCTAATCAATCAGCACGGTCCGGGCGTTTACTCAATCACAACCCGCGGCCTCTATAGACATTGTTTGTCGAGTGTGGAGAAATGTACCTGCCACATTGTAGATGCAGTTTTAGAGCTCCCGCGCAGTGGGGTGTTGGACTTTCTGCATAACAATAAGCAGCTTTAGGGGGGATGTAGTCAAAGTGTATTTCTCTTTCTAGCCTTCAGTGAATGGCATTATTTCTTGATTTGCACTTTGTTAGTGAATGACTCAGAGTTTGTTAACTTGCTATTTGCAAACAGCTGAAAGCGCCATATAGTTAAAAACGGAGGATTTTGAAATGCATGTTTGAAAAAACACTGTTTTTTGTTCTGCTGAATTTCCTTAGATAAATACTTTGAATAATTAAATGAGCATGTTGTAGGACCAATTACAATGTAGGCATGATCGAATTGAAACAATTTCTTTTTAACATTATAAAGTGCCTTGAAACGACATTTTGTTGTGCTACATAAATAAACTGAATGCATTGTGCACACTTGGCTTTTACGTGAATGAAGGACTGATACGGTGTAGGATTATTAGTCCCGTGTATCTTCCACAACAGGAGGAGCAACAATTAGCACTAAACTTCAGCTAAGCAGAGATGAGCTTATATAAACCAGACCGGGGGGATGGGAGAAGGGAGCTCCAATTCCCACAAAATATTACGCTCTTATATAAGCAGGCTCTAAATGACAGGAAATCTTGTTCTTTCATGTTTCTTCCCGCTGCTACCCTCACATCGCATTAAAACTCCAGGCGAAAAAAAAAGAGAGAGAGAGAGAAATCATCGCTCTTGGAGGATCTTCAGTCATTTGTTTTCACACAAAGTCACAAAGATATAAAGTGAAACCATTTAATTCGACAGATGAATTTTTGACTTTGTAAAGCTCACAAAAATGACTTTGTTGGAATTAATTAGATCCATATTTTTTTTTCTTTTTTATCCCGGTTTAGTAGAAGGAATGAATTTAATTTTGTCATTTGCACTTCAAAAGCAAACATCCGCTCCAGCCCCCTTTTACGTAATGAGTCTACAGTTGAAAGCGAATGTTTTCCAGACCCTGACCTCTATTGTTGCAGATTCACCTCAAACAGCTTCAAGGCTTGATGCTGCATAGGGAGGAGCATACGCTGCCTTGAAAAAGTGGATTTTTTTATGTTTTTGCTTCTTCAGATCAAACATTGTTTCATTCAATCTATAGAGAAGAGCTACCCAAAACAAACCTGCTGTGAAGAAGCAGTCAGTCTTACAGCCGGTTATAACATCCTTGTTGGCAACAAATATCATTATATTCAATCTTGACCCTCTTTTTTTGCAGTATTTCTGCGGTTAAGCCACATTGGAGGGTTCTCTTTCAACATTCGTCTCGGTACCTCCAGCACCTGTCAATTCCTTAACCTAAAGTTCTTAAACACGAATGCCATGTTTCAGGTCATATCACATCATTTTATTTTGATTAAAGTTGTTTTTATTGGGTTTTTATGAGGTATACTTGCCAGACTGGTTTTGATCGCAGTCCGGTTGTGTAAGCCTGATGTCGTTCTGTTCACTGATTGAAATTGGAACTGAAGAAATTTTGCTCAATGGGAGAAATCTCAGATTTGCACTGAAGGGAGATGAGAATCGAGTGGAATTGCGTAGGCTGTCTTACTCCAGTTTTCAGAAAAGTTCTGAATTGTTGATGTAACAGATGTAGCAGTAAATTGTGGATGTTAACTGAACTCTGCTTTCCAACTAATTTGGTCAATGATTTCTAATGAAGGTGTTTTTTCTTTGTTTGTTTTTACATTTAACTACGTTGGTTGGATACCTTATTTTTCCTCTCTAGATAAATAAAGTTATCATTTGGCATCAGGTACGTGTTAATGTCTCATACCAAAGTCAGTTCGAGCATCGGAGACACTTAAATGAGACAACAAAGTAAAAACAAAAGAAATCTGCCTGGGAGCAAACACTAATGCTGATTGATGCATATTCTACACATACCTAGGCCTGAACTGGACACAGTTACTCAAAACAAGATTCACAACATGATGAGACATCTGTGGTTGATCCGGACTGCAAGTCAGAGTGAGTAAACCCAGCACAGCTGTGCTATTCATGCAAATGGCTGATAAGTCTAAGATATGAACGCTGTAGATTTAAAAACAAACTTTATTTAAAAAGGTATAATATACAGCTGAAGCATAAATGTCACTATTTGATGAACTGCTCCAAATTGTGGCATGAGCTAATTTGTGTCGGACAGGATGTGAAATAATAAAAGATCAAATATAACTCTACAAGTTGCTTTCACACACACACACACACACACACACACACGCACACACACACACACACACACACGCACACACATTTAATCAATGCCACACACACACACACAGAGTTAATGATCAAAGTATTTGTTTTGAGAAAAACAAATATTTTCTATTTGTTTGACGTGGTAGTAAAAGCTTTTTTGTTAGGTGACTGCTCTCTCTCACACATGGTGTGACATTGTGGTGCTGCTAATGCACATGATTAATGGCTGCTGACAGCAGCAGTACTTCTGTTTTTGTGTCTTTCTATAGAACAGTTTTTAAAGAGAAACTGGGTAAACTGCCTGCGAACTTTTGTACCTGATTCCAAATTGTTTTCCGTTCCAAGTAGAGCGAAATAGAACAAAATATTGTGTTGAAAACGAGAACAGTCAACTGTTTCAGTTTTGTATTATTTCTGTCATTATTTCATTTCGAGTGGTATTTATACAAACATGATGAAGTTCCTCTTGTTGCCTGCCTCTCGATTTAGTTGCTTGGTTTATTATTTTTCTGTTTTTGTTTATAGTTGGGGCCACTCGACGGGCCAAATAAACAAGTTGACAGTTTGCCATACGCTCCCCACACTTCATTGTGTCGAAACCTGAAACTTCACACAGCCTGAGACGCATCACATCCTTCTGCTCTTCGAACACCTTAAAGCCACTTGATCTTGTAATGATTAGAAAGAAGGACTGAAAATAAAAAGAGTTGATAAGAATATTTTCCCTCTGCTTTAGCAGACTCCCCTTTTATTTCAACCCAGAAAAACTGAAAGTAACCACAGATGACAACGATCTACAACTACAGAAAGCTTGACTTTAACAGCAGAAAATGAAAGACTTGGTGGAAGCAAAAAGAACAGGAAGTAGTCCTGATAAAAACCCAGCCTGGCCTCTTTATGGGGAGCCCAGAGAGGACCTGGTGGCACAAGCAGCAGTCACCTTTAATTTAAAGGTGGGATTAAGAACATGAGGAGAGGCTGGCTCACACTCAAGCCCCCTAAACACAAACTTTATCCTCCCAGGAGAGAAAAACATCAGAAATAGTTCACACACACAAAAAAAACTTTTTAAAGTTATACTTTTTCTTAAACCTTCAGTGCATTTTACCTGAACCGACGCTTTCACTTACAAACATCATTTTTGATGCACAACTATAATTAAGCATCGCTCTCTTTTGCTACACTTATAGATGCACAAGTCCTTCTTCAGTCTGCAGATACAACTGAAGAATTTATACGGAACCAAAAGTAGGCCAAAACTCTAGAGACAGGGCTGATTACAGTAAATAAATAAAGTTTATATTAATGAAGACAATAGGCCTTGCGAAGCAGAAACCCTTGTGCAAAATAAAAGTTTTAGAAAATAAACAGGATTGCAGTCGTGTCCGAGAAAGTTAGTCATTAACTTTAGAAAATAATGACTAAAGTTACTGGCTGTTTTGTAATTGAAAGGAAAAAAGAAGTAGGATCAGGGTTTTCAGTGAGAACACATGCAGAAAAAGCGGCAACATGAGGGGCAACTTTGAAAAAAAAAAAGAAAAGAAAAAAAAAACTTGTCCAAAGTTACACCGTTACTTGCAGAAAGGTGACAGATTAACGCTCAACATGCTAAAAAAGCAGGACCTGGGAAAACTATAGCTAGCTACTTTTAAGCGATGCCTGCTTAAAACGCAACGACTCTGCAAACAAACTCAAAAAATTATTACTGATGGGCATACAGGGAAGTAGTTCCTGTTTTATTTTTTTTATTTATGGTTTTACAAATTAATATTTTCCAGACAAACTCATAAACCCAAATCGAGTGAGGTGTTGTAATATTGTTTGACTTAAGAATATGAGCAATGAAAGTAAATAAATCAATAGAATTAGAAGATCAGGACATTATAGTACATTCTTTATGTGTCAGTATTCATAACAAGGTACTGCATATTTGCATGTGTAAAATACATTTTTGGCGGATAGGGCACCAAATGAGGCTCCAGCCCAGGTGCCCACGCCGTTCTAAATCCGGCCCTGATGGAGGCGAATCTAAATAATTCACAAAATAATTGAAAACTCATTCCATAAGGGACATTACACTAAATGTAGTGTGTTGGCAGCTGCAAAGAAGCGCAAAACAATTAAGATCAGTACATCTAAATTGTAAAAACAACATAAACATTGATAAAGTAATTCTGCTTAAAGATTGCAAAGATTATGTGTTATTAAAGTGAAAAGGTAAATGTGGCCATACATACATCAGGCTAAAATGCTTTTGGAAGAAGTTCTGATGCGTTCACATTCAGTGTTTGTTTCTATGGCAAAACCTGAGAATCATTATCACCTTTGACCTTCATGTTATCAGCTAAAAGTCTTCTCTCTTTAAGACACAGAATCCAGGAGGATTAACGAAGCCTGATTTGTTTCTGCCTCATCACTCCAACCTGTTCTATGCTTTTTACAGGAAAATCAGCATCTGTTACACACATATGCTATTAACACAATCTTTAATATGTTTTCTGGAGATCTTGGCCCAAGCCTCCATGGGTACAAAGCGGAATTTTATTTTGGCGGCCTCTATATTTGCTGTTCACATGAATTGCTGCAAATTAACAGACGATTAGACAATTCGAACAACTGCCATAAACTCATTGCATCTCTGAATAGTTCTGTTTATGTTATATCCTACATGCATATCATCTAGTGGTGGCAAAAGCAATAAAAAAACGAGAATGCTCTGGATGTAAGATGGAGGACATGCACACACAATCATGACATACTTTGATTAAATTAAAAATGTAATTCCAGTACCGAAAAATTAACTTTATACCAGATGACTCTCCCTCACCTGAGAATATGAACCTGTACTTGTGTGATTCTGTGCCTTCAAATAATTTGAACAATTCTCCTGTAGAAGATTCAGAACTTCTAAGTCTGAAACAAGAACAGGTCTGAAAAAAAAGAAAAAAGAAACAGTCTGTGTGCTTCACTAAAGAGATTCATTTGATGCATCAAAGACTGATGTCATCACCGCTGATGTCATTGTTACCAGTGGAACTGAACGTTCTAATGGTGCGTTCACATCAAACACGTTTTGAGTGTCAGGCGAGTCTGGTTTACATTCAAAGTAAATGTGGAGTGTTGGATGGGCAAGATGTGTCAAAATGTTCAAATCGTGCCGCACAGACTTTGAATGTAGACCAGCTGCACCCAATGCTCAAATGCATTTGGTATGAACGCACCATTATCTGTCCAGTGTCACATTAGGTCCCTCATATTAGGACCAAAGTCCGGTCCAAATATGAGGGACTCATTGCTTTGCGTCAGGGGTAATGTTTAGAGGTAAGATGATAGATTTAGAATCATTCAGAAATGATTTTAAATTATTAAAGATCATCAAAGATGATGTTTGATAATCATTATTTATCATCAAAGAATGATGTTTTATAATCATTCTTTATCATCAAAGAATGATGTTTTATAATCATTCTTTATCATCAAAGAATGATGTTTTATAATCATTCTTTATCATCAAAGAATAATGTTTGATAATTATTCTTTATCATCAAAGAATGATGTTTGATAATCATTCTTTATCATCAAAGAATAATGTTTGATAATCATTCTTTATCATCAAAGAATGATGTTTGATAATCATTCTTTATCATCAAAGAATGATGTTTGATAATCATTCTTTATCATCAAAGAATGATGTTTGATAATTATTCTTTATCATCAAAGAATGATGTTTGATAATCATTCTTTATCATCAAAGAATGATGTTTGATAATTATTCTTTATCATCAAAGAATGATGTTTGATAATCATTCTTTATCATCAAAGAATGATGTTTGATAATTATTCTTTATCATCAAAGAATGATGTTTCATAATCATTCTTTGATCATCAAAGAATGATGTTTGATAATCATTCTTTATCATCAAAGAATGATGTTTGATAATCATTCTTTATCATCAAAGAATTATGTTTCATAATCATTCTTTATCATCAAAGAATGATGTTTGAAAATCTTGCTTTATCATCAAATAATGATGTTTGATAATCATTCTTTATCATCAAAGAATGATGTTTGATAATCATTCTTTATCATCAAAGAATTATGTTTCATAATCATTCTTTATCATCAAAGAATGATGTTTGATAATCATTCTTTAACATCAAATAATGATGTTTCATAATCATTCTTTGATCATCAAAGAATGATCTTTGATGATCAAAGAATGATCAAACAATCATTCTTTGATGATTTTTTATCATCAAACAATGATGATTGTTGATATACAATTTATGATATACAATCGATTAGTTAATTGATCATTGTCTTATCATCATTGTTTGATGATATACAATCAATTAACCAATTGATGATATACAGTCAATTAGCTAATTGATGATATATAATCATTAAACAATGATGGTTGTATTTCTGCCAATTGTCTAGCTGCAATAGACTAGTAGTCTAATGTGTTGAATGTGCTCAGACACATTCAACACTTTAGAAACCAATCTACTGTCAGACACTTTTAACAAATATTTTAGCAAAACCTGCATTACCTGGGGTCTGAGCTAGGGCCCTAGGTAATGCAGGTTACCTAGGTCAGGTGGGTCTGATCTAGGGCCCTAGGTAAAGTAATTTACCTAGGTCAGGTGGTACTGACCTCAGTTATTCCACCCAGGTGTGGGTCGACGCAAAGGCCGAGCTGGGCACAGCTTGCCCTTCATACGAACGCCAACACGGAGGCCCTCCGTGCAACCAGTAGAGGTTGGTTGCATCGACGTCGGTCTTTCCTCGGACCTCAATGTTTGTGCGGAGGTCTGGGTTTGCGTGGACTCCTCTGTTTGCAACCTGTGTGTTAGTTGGTGCATAGGACGAGCCAGGCTGTGGATGGAGACCCCCGGTTGACTCAAGGTCTGCCTTTCCTTGATCTCCTGTGGGACCAGGGCGGCCTTTGGTTGGCTGAAGACTCTGGGATGGTCATTTTCCAGAGCAAGTTTTAACTTACTCTTCAGGTCGGCAATCTGACCTTGTAGAGCCTTCACCATTTCCTCCTGTTCTATAAATTTGGTCGCTTGCTCAGCGTGTCTTTTTAGCTGCTCCTCATATTGCAGTCTGACTCTATACTCCTCAACCATTACCTCAATGAGGCCTTTATTGTGGGCGGCGCATTTTTCAGCCTGCCTCTTGTAGTGGTCCAGCTGTTGAAGGAGGTTCCTGTCAGCCGTAACTTTCGTAGAGCAAGAAGCTCTTGAGCCACCTGTCGTCTCTGCCACCTTCCTGTCATGATCTCGTTTGACTTGCTGGTGACGTTCTTTTTGTAACAATTCTTGCAGCCTTTGAATCTCCTCCTGCTGTGATTTCACTTCAGCCTGACACGCAATTCTGCGGTCTCGTTCTTCCTGGAGATCAAAGGTCTTACTCTGCAATTGTTTCTTAAGATCGTCCACCTGCTTTGTCAGGTCATTGACGCGTTGGCTTGTCTTGTCCTCGACTTCCACCGAGGGGGTGATCTCGAAGCCAGCAGGGCGAGTTGCTTCCTGCTGGACTTCTGAAGATGTTGGATTGTCAAAGTGGCCGGAAGGACTTGAATCCCCCTGGATCTTTGATGGTACATCTTCCGGCTCAAAGGGGTGTCGCTGTCACCCTCAAAAGGGAAAACGACAGCGTCGTAGTCGACTTCAATGTTGAGGTCCACTATGTCGACCCATGAAAGCTTCGATGGAAAAGCTTTATGTTTACATGCAAGCTGTTGCTGCTTCATGTCGATGTTCTTGCTCTGAAAGGCGATATCTAGAATCGATATGCTACTTTTTCAATGACTTTCGAACGTGCTTTGTAGAGTGATCTGCCACAATGGAATTGAGGAACAGGTCTGACAAAACGTTCTCTGTGAGCTACATTTAAGAGAGAGACTCCTTTGTGGTGTCAGAGAGTTATGACATCACTGATGATGTCATTGATACTGTTGGAACTGAACATTCTATCCACCTTATTCCTGAGAGGCTCACTGGGGAAACAATTATGGGTCTTACTTCCGGCGCCCACCGGACGTAGGAGTATTTCATGGTCATTTGTAGGGGGTTGTTTTGCTAGTCTAGAAGTTACATCTCTCTTTTTGGTTATTGTCCATCAGAACCAGAACCTCAAGGTTCTCCATTGCTGAGTGACACTGCAAATCAGCAGAGACAATGAGCTTCAGACTATAATACGGATAATCTGCCCCCACTGCACTAGACCCGAGCCGAATCACACACTAACCTGTCTAAGAGCAAAAATTTGGCTAAAAATCCTAAACTTGAAGAGAAAATCCAAAATGCTTTATGTGTGCTGGTTTCTGTGTGTGGACGAAAAGCCAACGGTAGAAAACTCGGATCCATATCCAAAGCTACTTCACTGAGTCAATGAAGTAGCTACCCCAACAGGGCCGAAGTTAGGAGGGTGTGGGCCCCTGGGCTTGAACCAAGCTTCGGGCCCTACTTAATTATCGTTATACAGTTGCATATTATATATACACATAATATGTATGTCCCTAATTTCCTTCCCTTCGGGTGGTCGGCGCTTGGTCGTGACTTACTTGTTGAACCGATCCTGTCCACAAACTCATCTACCTACAAGGTCACAAAAACCAGCCACTGTCCACCATGACAGGCAGATGGACAGTCCTAACCAGCAGGTCTTCTCTCCATGCAAGGTTTACATCAGACACTCCTACATCAGATCATTACTACAAACAAAATAGTTATTAAAGAAATACTTGAACATGTCATGTATGTCTATTCAACAGAGCTTCCCTAAGGAAGAAAAAAATGATCTATCCATCCCTCTCAATATTTATTTATCCTTCTTCTTTTCTATCAATGTCTTTCTCTGTAATTATCAGGTTTGTTTGCTTACCAAGTTCAGACAGTCAGGTCGTTTCCCCTCTCAGAGCCAAACATGCTCAAAACTTTATTGGTTGATGACTGGATTTTAACAGCGTGTCAGGGCAGGGCAGGACGCACTCCAGCTAATTTGTACAGTCGGCCCTTCATCATATGATTAGGACAGCTCCTACAACTAACCCTGGTCCTGACACTCAACCCCAACCTGAAATACAGATTTATGACATGTTAAGTTATATTTTGTTTACTATTCAACCTGGAGTAGTGATTTGAAGAACAGAAAAATGATTAACTCATAAATCTTTTTACAGATTTTGTGCTTCCTCTGACTTCAACCTCAGTGATGCTAAAAAAAAAAAAAAGAAAACTATTGAGTCTTCTTCAAAGAAACTTCTACACTGTAGAGTGTTGTTGTTAGCGCAACCTGGTCGAGCTTTAAAACACTCTTGACTCATCAACTCATCAGTAAGGAATAAAGCACATTTACATATCTCCAATTATAGGACAATTGAGCAAATTCATAAATATAAGCCAAGACCTGGTAACCTAGTCTTTAAATTACTTCTTAAAAACTAATTTCAGACATTCTGGGAAACACTGTTAACTTCCAGGTGAGCGAGTCTCACTCGGTTTGTTTCACTGTAGGCGTTGAAGCACAATACAGCGTGGAACTATGCAGTAATTAATTCCACTCAGATGTTACTTTTATAAACCACCCGCAGACCCTGAAAAACCCATTTAGCACCATGTTAGCGCTGCACTCCACACCGTCTGTGTAGCGTAGAAAATAAGGAGGAGAAACAGGAAAAAAAAAATAGAAAAACACGAAGGCTTCTCTCCCATCATGTACCGAGGGTCATATTGCCCTCCAGCAACCCGAGTGTTCACACAGGAAGAATAATTTCAGTCATGAAGGAGAAGGGAGAGTACTTGGTAGTGTTTTCCATATCAAAGAACGTTGGGGGGCATTTTGTTTTGAGAGGCGCATTTCCACACAGCACAAATGTATTATTCTCTTTTTGATTAAAAACGCCCGGCCTTTTGCCCCGTCTCTTTGCCTAAGTAGGGGCGATGGCAGCGGATTCGGCCGCTTGAGGCGATTGCGGGAACATGTGTGAGCGAGCTGTGCAAAAGTCTTTACGCGTCCCGCACGCGTAAAGGCCTTCCTCCTTCGGAGCCTGAGTTATCCGTCTCGTAGGTTGCGGCGTGTTGTCCCCTCTCCGCAGCAGGCATCAGATCACTCATCTTCAGAAGCTAATTGTCCCTCTTGGGCCACGCTGTTCATTATCTGACCCAGCGCACCAGAGTAAGCGAAGCGGGGACAGGAACTGCGACAGCAGCCGACTGACGCACTAAAGCACGGCCTCTCGTTCTGCGTTCCGTGAACCGGGCGTTAACGCGGACGGCCCGTGGTGCTGCCGGGCCTCAACGCCCTGCGTGACAAGAAATCTCGCTATGAAAACGTCGACTACGGCTCTGCAGCCACTGGTTCCAGGATGGACTCCTAACCTCCCGACAACAATACTCCGTACCTCGCTTGTGTTTGTAGTTTGAATTTTGCTTTTTTTCTCCCCACAAGGCCTAAACAGGAGTAAAAGGCTCTTCCCCCCTCTGGAAGTCCATGTTTGCTGTGTTACCTGTTCAGTGCTTTGCAAAAGGCCTCACATGCCGCGGAGGATTCACATTATTACAAACTACATATACTCATATATAACATATATTCACAGTTTGGATGTTGTTCCCACGGTGACATGTAACAATAGTCATTATTACCCAACAGTACCACTGTAGTTTCATCAGTAGTTTCAGCTTTTTGGGGTTAATGTCTTCTTCCTCACTGTTTTACCAGCATCTACACAACGTCCTTGACTTTTGCTCTGGGGTTGATCTGCACGTTTTGGACCGAAGCTTGTTCATGGTCACGGAACCCGTCTCCTTCCTGGGCGGCATATTGGCTCCGCATTCCCACCCTTCACACTTGAGCATAATTATCTGAACGGATTAACAGAGCACCTTCAAGCATCTGGAGATCATTTCCAGGACGAGCCGGACTCGGACAGCCCCACAGTTTTCTCAACAGGAAATCGGTGTGTAAGACTGAAATGTTCCTGTTCACAGTCAGAGGCCACACTTTTCATTTGGAGATCGTTTTCTCCTTTCCTCTTTGTGATTGTGAAATGGAAAAGAACGCCAAAAGCGTTGTTCAGTACTAGCCAACTCTTTTTAAAAAACTGCAACTGTTTTGAACAGGACTGACTTGATTTCCTGACGCGGCGGTGGCAGTAGCAGCCGCAGCAGCAGCAGCAGCAGCTTTGTTGGACCTCCTCCAAGCAGAGCTGCGCTGGCAGGTGAACATTTAATACCATCCCCTGCTCCCCAGTGAATGCACAACAGACCCCGCCGCCCCTTTTTGAGCTCTGACAAATAACTCTCCCCTTCACATACAACATGCGTCTTTATTTAGACGCACAATTGAGTCATGATGGGATTACCCATTGTGTGTACAGCTGCAGTCACCGGATTAGGGACGATGGCAGAGAAAACACAGTTCCAACCAACTGCGCCGCCACAACGGGCAGCTTGGAAAGCCACTCCAACACCTGAGATCATCCATTGTCAACACACCGTAAAGTGATGGCATTTTCCAAGAGGACCTTATTGTAAATGATCCCGCAAGATCCCAGAACGTCTGCGTTGCCACAGAGGTTTGTGTCTTGCGCGAGAAGACGGCATGGTTTCCTCATCACAAGCCGTCAGTGCTTCTTCGCTTTCCGCTCGTCTTACCTTGGTGACAACAGTCACACAGCGGTGACTGCGGGTGGGCGGATTGCCCGTGCGTGGGGAGCGGAGGAGGCGAGCGCCCCGACTGTCAGGACTGACACGAGATGACTGGGTGTGCGAGACGTGCCATTATCGCGACTCTCGCACCTCCGGCAAGAGTCTGCGAAAACAGTGCGCGGCGCGTGCATGTTGCAGCTTGAGAGCGGTGACGTGCGGCGAGGTTCATGACTGGTGAGGCGACGAGATGCACAAATCCAAAATACAGTCTGGGAGCTTATGTTTTAGCTCTGACCAGAAGTTATTAAAGCTTTTCATTATGCTTTGATCAAACCCAGACAATTCAAAATGTAAAACAAAGTTGTACAAAGCCAGTTTTGTGCCTGGTGCCACAAGCTTGCAACATTTGATTTTCCATAGTTTTAATACCGTTTTATCCAATTTTTTTTTTAATCTTGTCCTAGTGAAGATGATGTACTTGAGTCTGTTTATTACTACTCTTATTATTATGCTGTTTGTCATTTTTTAAATATTTTAAAGTATTGAGCACCTGGCACTTTTGAATTGTGTTATTTGAATTTATTATGTTGATGTCAGTTCCTCGTTGTAACCAGATCCACCTAATTGTATAAATAAAGTTGGTTGATTTATATGGTGGTGAGAACAATAGAATATTTAATATAAAGTCACGTTTGATCTCTTAAAATGTAAATGTTTATTTTGGTTGACCTTCCTCTATTCAGATTTAAATTACAAATCATATAAAATCTTCATTTTATAAAAATGAAAGTTATATTCTTCTCCATAAATATCTCTTGTCACTGTTTTTTAAGATGTTCGTTTCCGTCTTATTTTCCTTTCATTTTTGAAAAATCTGGGGAATGACCTCAAACTCTCGTGTCCCAAATGTATTTTTCCCCCGTTTTTCAGATTGTCTTCAGTCTTTTTGATACGTAGAAGAAGAGCACCTGTTGCATGTCTATGGGCTCAGCACTGCCCTCTATCAGTGAGACACAGTACTGTCTGATTCCCCCTGCACCTTTATGGCCAATCAGAGAAATAAACAGGTCACACACGTTCATTAAATATATCAGACAGAACGCAGAACATCAGCACGTGTAGGACATGTGGGCCGCCAATCGCCTGTTTTATTGTCTCTGTGTGACACAGCGCCACCAGAGGCGAGGCGCAGCACTGCACTGCCTAAACTAAATATTTAGCAAGCAAACTAAGCATTTAGTTCGTTTTAATGTTAGTAAAATATATAGTTTGGAACGCTGACATTTATAACACGAATAATATGGTGTAAATATGACTTAAAATTTAATGCCCACACTTTTTTCTTTATGACATGCTGAACGAACTAAATTTCATTATTCATTATTTCATTATTATTATTTTATTTATTTTTTGCTCTAACTTAACAAACGGCAAATTTTTCCTCCTTCTTGTTGAATTATTATTAAATAAAGGCCACTACTGCCTAAAAAAAAAAGCCATGTAGGTTCAACCAGCGACGCTGCAAACCCCCACAAAGTGGTAATTTACTTTAGTCAGTGTCACAACAGAGCCAATACGCATGTCCAGAGCTGTCCTGACGAGACACCGAGCAATTCGCGCGAGGCGCCTCCGACGTCAGACCCCCCATAGTGACCTTGAGTCACTGGAGTCACTATCAGAGGCGGCGATGTGACGCCGCCTGTCGGTTATCGGCGGGGAACAACAGCGCAGAAAACAGCAGTCGGTGGACGTGGGTCTGACGATACAGTGGGACTGGATGGAGAGCCACTCGTGGTGACACATATGCCCACGTCGTCCCCTTCCGTCTTTACGACCAATGCCACCCACGTAGCTGGATGCGCGCGCGCGCACACACACACACGGTCACACACAACCTCGGTCTGGCAGCTGTATGAATAAAGCGGCGTCAAGTGTGTCAAAGCAGCTTCACTCACAATGGCGGCGCTCAGAGTGAGAGCAGACATTGACAGGAAGTGGTTAGAAGCTCGAGCAGATGATCTTCTGATGACGTCTCTGTCCCGGTGACGGGCTGCAGTCCAAGTTCCATGAGCAGGAAAGCAGCTGAGTTTTTCACTGTCAGCGCGTGCGTGCGCTTTAACGTCTCGTGGAGTGTTTAGGAGGAGACTCGGATAACTGAGCTAATTTTTTTTTTTTTTTTTTTTTTTTTTTTGGTCACCCCCCAAACTCCCTAACCTGCCTGCAGCAGCAGAGGGTTTGATGCGGTTTATTCTGCACGCAGATCAAAAGCTCTGGCATGCAATTACTAAATTAGTGGAGAAATTAATTTCAACTCAGTGAGCTGACACAGAAACGCACTGAACTGCTAATCTGTAAGCAGGGAGGGCTAAAAAAAAAGAAGAAAAATCCTCTTGAATTTAAAAGTTTAATGGATTAACGATGTCAAGGCTCTCAAGTGGATAGCCCTATAGTGCAGCGCAACTCTGAGGGATTTAACTTGCATCGCTGTTAGTGTGAGGAAACCTTCCTCTGCGGACTCTGGCTGTATGGGGAAATGTTATATCCAATATTTCATGTTTGGGGCAGAAAATAAAATAAAATGTGGATCTAGAAAAGGCTTTCTCAGACTGCGCAGGGTCACAGACTTAACTTTTTAGAGACGTGTCCTGCGGTTGGATGAAAACGTAACGTAAGTGTTTACAATACGCAACAAAAACACATTTAGAGGGAAAAACAGGGAGAAGCTTGCAGGCCTGGGAGCCCAATTCCAACAGTGAAGTACGGGGGTGGCGCCATCATGCTACGGGTTCCTTTTGTGGCTGGAGGGAGGAATGGACTTCACAAAACAGAACGATTACATGAAAAGTTTAGTTTGGGGTAAAAAAAAAAAAAAAGGACACAGATACAAAGTATCTAAATGTTTTGAAGGGATGCCACAAGGTCCTAATCTTAGCCCCATGGAGAATTTGTGACTCAGATGCCCCCCCTCCCCCTTATTTAATTAAAACAATAAATTATGTGTTAAGTAATATCATATTGTTCAGCTATTCCTTCATCAAAGTCATTCTTGGAGAGTTGCTTTGATTCTTTCTCGCTTGTTTGAGAAATCCTTGAATCTCCCGTGGCAAACATTCTGGGTCACGCTTTGTCAGACTCGGTGCCGCCTTCATCGCAGCTCGAAATCCATGTAGCTTTCGAGCCTCCCTCCTCGCCTCTGCTCCTTCAGACTAGCTAGCATCAATTAGCCAACACCTGGTGGAGCTTGCTATATGAACTATGACTCAGATGAACGTCTCTATCACCTTAATAGAGAATGTTGATGTGGTGACTGCCCAAACGCAGAGTTTCAGAAAGATCAGGTCCTTCTTAAAAAGGCAGAGGTCCAATTTCAAGACATTAAATGGCTAAGGCAAATTTCTTATTAGTCGTGTTTGATATATACAGCATTTTTATAACACCTAAAGGTAACATAATTACCTGATTGTGCTATAAAATGATACTATGTTACCGGAAAACAGAAACGCCATTTAATGTGTTTTTTTTTTTCTCACTTGGGAATAGTGAATTTTCTTTTTGTCCGGATTGTTCTGCTATTTTTTTCTCTTTTTTGCTGTTTCTTTTGTCGGACTGTATTAAGCATTTATTACGCCCCCCGCCTGTGACGAGGTGGCGGTCTGTCCACGGTGTACCCTACTTTTCACCCAGTGACGGCCGGGATAAGCTCTACTTCCACATAATAGACCACACTCGATTTATTGTCCATTCTCGCGCGAAGGGCAAATATTGCACTCAGTCCGTCACTTTCACAGACATGTCTGAATGAAGCATTAGGAACATTAACGCAGAAAGTGACCAAGGTCCTAATGACTGAACGCTGACGCTCCGACTGATTGATGAAGCCATTATTGTTACGAATCTTTAGCTCTGGAAATGGCCTTTGTTCATAGGAAAGAGAGAGCTCTGCTCAGAGGTAAATGTGTTGTCGAAGCTGGAATTTGTGAAATCCATGAAAGGTTTTCCAACAAATACGCTGGTCGAACCTACACAGTGCAGCATACCTGTAGTTTGAGTGTGACGTCCACATAATTTAATGCTGGGCTGCTCATTTCTTCAGTCTGTGTTTTTCACACTATGTGGCAATGCAACTACAATCAGAGCTTTGTGTGGAGGGGATCTGGGTGATTGGTTGTGGCTTTAAGGATTCGTGTTGCTCCTGATGGCCTGGTCTCCTTTCAAGAAGTACAATTTATGAAAAACATAATCTATGATATTTATTCGGCCTTACGTTCATTTTGATGCATAGGGATAAACTTAAGGAGTAGTACACTTTACAGATTTGATTTTCCTTCAGAGAACTATTCAGTGGTTCAGCTTTACTACTCTTACAGTTGGGAGAGATACATTTCAATTCGCCTGAATATCAGGCCGCTTCAAAAAATGTTTCTTCTCAACTGGAAATATTTGTTTTAAATATTCCTCTGGCTATTAAATATCAATATCGCTTGCCATAAAGAAATGGAAAAAGAATCTGACCTACTCTGTCTGTGGACTCTTATTAAAAAACAGAAAAGAGCAGAAAGTCACTTTAATTTTACAAAAAAAATAAATTAATGTTTTTTTTACCCCCCCAAAAACCCCAAATCCAACATGGTGACAGTAAAAACTGTCACCATGTTGTTACGGTTTGATATGAGAGATAATCTAACACGGAACAGGAGGAACCATGAAGAGACAAATGAGATGTAATAAAGATTATATATAGCATGATAAATAGAGTTTGTTCAATAGAACTATAAACCAGTTTATTAGGAAAGGCAACCTTTTATTGTGATGTGACACTGTGTAGAACATAAAATGAACTTGACCTTCAATATTACGGGAGGAGTCAGTCCCCTTCCTGACTCCAACTGGGTTTGTATTGAAATGCTCTACTTTGGACCAAATGAACTACTTTCACTCCCAAAGTTACTTACTGCTGTGTATGCGATAAAGGATTGGGGCCAAAGATCTATTTTATGTGTTCTTGGGTCGGCTATGTCGACAATTTATACGTCAGAACTCAGAGGCCAATCTTTTTTTTCCCCTTTTCCGCATCAGAATAACCAGAACAGACATCTGGGGGTCGACGGAAATGTCATCTGTATCTGAAACAAGAAAATCCAGGGTTTTCTTTTTTTTCCTGAGATATACTTTTAATTTTCTCCTCCAATTT